GAATTTTCCTGCTTTGCCTTTTTCTGTTGTGGTGGCTTTGTGTTTGGTGTGTTTGGTGACAGTTTGCATGGGCACGCCACAAAAACATGCAGCCTGGATCCCAAACTTGAACGGGAAGTGCCAGTTCTAAATATCAAGTCCCATATTGCACACCTCATGTCTGCCTTTCATCATCCATCAAAATAGCAAGCGGAGCCCAGCACTCCCACTTCAGCATAAGCAAAACATGTGGGAACTCGAGGCAGTTAGTAGGAAAACGTGATACAGCCTTGCTAATAAAAGCTCCTGCTTTCCTCACTATGGAAAACAGTTGCAAATGGGTTTCTGCAGCCTGGGACTCGACTGCTGACAGCACGGTGACAGAAACGCTGTGCTTGGCTCTTCCCAGCCCTGCCTGCCATGGTGTCCCAGCAAAGCACCCAGCTCCAGGAGCAGAGGGGAGCCCAGCAGCATCCATCCTGCTGTACCAGACCCTGCCCATCCCGCTCGGCGCTTCCCAACGCAGGGCTGCCTGCACACTCAAATAATTAAACCTTCAAACAGCTCCCCCATAGCACCAATTAAAGAGACAACCCCAGCTTTCAGAGAATTTATGACTCTCGGTGCTGTTGCCACAGGTATCCCGGTTTGTGCGTTGTTTAAAGAGAGTTTCAAAGGGGATCTGGGCTCGCCTCCCTCCAGGGAGAATCCATTCGCTTTGTTCACCAGACTATAACTTAAAATTTGTTACATGCACCAGCTTGTAAGCCTTTGAAAAACTCCCTGCTCCGCCAGCTTCAAATGGACTTGATGAACTTCCCCTGATCAAAGCAACTCTCTCACAGGGAGCTCACGAGCAAGGAAGCACCCAACTAATTTTGGGGCTGGGAATCACAGCATGGGCCAGGAGGGGACTCTCCCTCCCAAACGCACCCGAGAGCCCAAGCAAAGAGCCCAACCCACTTTGGCAGAAAGCACAAAGAAAAAGGCATTAATGCTGAATTCGCTTATTTAAAAGGGGAGGAAAAGAAAAAAATAAAAGATTAGCAGAGGTTTTGCTTGTTGAAAGCAGAGTAATTTGTCAGCAGGAGACCCCATGACTCCTGTCCCATCAGGACCCAGTCCTGGCACCCCACAACACTTGGGATGGGAAGGGAGATGGTTGCACACCCTCCACACTAGCCACAGGTGGAAGTGCTGCTCGTGTGCTGCTCCAGGAGATGTTTTACCTCACACACAACCACATGCCTTGGGTTTATTCCCTGCTCTGCAGAGCACAAACCACTTTGCTGGAGCAAAGTTGCAGCCAGCACGCACCAACCCTGCCGAAAACTCAGCAGCCACGAGGCCACAGCACAACTCTGCTGCCTCCGGCCACTCCCACTGCCTCAATGTCAATTAAAATGGTCATTTCCATGCGAAATTCAGCCCCAGTGGTTTCCTGCTTGAGGCAGGGCTCGATGAAGCACTGGGAGGGAGCTTGCTGCAGCTCAGATTAGTCATTTATGAACTATGATACGATGGGGGACACACTTTGAGATGTTTTGCTACTGCAAGTAACAAACACACTTTTGGGAGGGGAAGGCAAACCCCCTTCGAGGAGCAGGACAAGAGGCACGGGCTGAGCACCCTGGCTAAAATAAAGCCCCAGCAGAAAACAGCCCATGCTGAAAACACTGGTTGCAGCTCCCAGCCCCAGGAAGACCAACTTCCCGCGGTGACCTATATGTGCTATAAATGCTGCAGCCACGGGCTGGGTGACGTCAGCTCCATCCTTGTGGCAATTGTTGGGTCTCTCCTTGCCAAGAAAAGGCAAAGCGGAGGTGCTGAATTGTCCGTGCGGCGGGGGAGCGAAACCAGTTCCTCCCCGGAGCATTTGAGGACAGAAATGAGGGAAACAGTGGCAGGGCTTAAAATAAAAGCAGGAGGTAAATAGGAAAGCAAAGGGATCTCGAAGCTGGAGGGTTTGCATGAACACTTTGAATTTTTATGGCCTCAGGGAATAAAAGGGGTTCCCTTGGTAAAGGGGCCACCTGCAGCTTGGCCAGGGCAGTTGTTAGAAACAAGGAATTGTTAAGGTTGGAAAAGATCTTTAGGATGTTCAAGTGCAACTGTCAGCCCAGCACCATGTTCACCACTAAAGCATGTCCTCAAGTGCCACATCAACACCTGTTCTGAACACTTCCAGGGACAGTGATTCCATCCCTGCTCTGGGCAGCCAATGGTTAACAATACTTCTGGTAAAGAAATTTTGAATTTGAAAAGGATTTGAATTTGAGACAATTTTATCACTGGGATTGCCTGTTTCAATCAAATGCTTCTGTTCCTTTATTTACCAGCTGGGCTTTGGAAGCAAAAATCTCATTTTGGCCAGGACTGATCAGTCAGTGCTTTGCTCCCATCCCTCCTTCCCTCCTCACTTCTCTGGGGAGGAAAGAGCCTGGAGATAACAGCTCCTCTGGAGGGGAAGAAGAATAAAAGCTGCACACTGTCCCAGCATTTCCACAAGGAGATGGGAAGAGGGAGATCATGAATTCCCATGTCCAACTCAATTACACCAATCCAGTGACTGCTCCCATCCTGGGGGAAAGATAAAACACCAATATTTCTTGGCACACTAGACAACATCAGTTTGTTATCTGGAGGTTACCACAACAAGCCCAAATAAAGAGATCCTGGCACTGTGGTGCACAGCACCGAGCTAAGACTCAGACAAATCAGTGTTTGCTTCTCCTTTGCAGGCAGAGGGGAAATGCTGCACTGCCTCCACTGCTGGTCCAGGCCCCTGACTGAGAAGTGCTTGGAACACACGTGGCACATTAAAGAAGCAGCCCAGGCCTTCCTGCATGGCAAGATTTAGGGTGATCACCTCCAGGTCCTGGTTATGGTGTGGTTGTGAGGTGCTCTGCTCCCTCTGCTAGTCCAGATCCCCAAATCCAAGGACCATCTCCACCCTCTGACCACATCAAGGTTAATGATGACTCCAATTCAAATCAAATTTGGAGCTGGATGACTGCCTGTGTCTTGGGGAATTAAATACCTTGGGGGATGACCAAGGCCAGGTTGGAAGGGGCTTAGAGCAGCCCGGTCTAGGGGAAGGTGTCTCTACCCACGGCAGGAGGTGGAAAAAGATGAGCTTTAAGGTCCCTTCCAACCCAAAGTCTTCCATGATTCTGCAATTCTAACTAGTACTTGATTGTACCAGTGAATAAAGCTAAAGCAACAAACCAACAATCTGTGAGAACAACCTCTTGCCATTTTCTAGGGCCTTGTTTAGACACCTTGGATCCTTCTAACAGGCAGAGCACAGCCTTCTGCATGGCACAGCTCTCTGATGTCTTACTGCAGTTATTCACCCACCAGCAAAAAGCCAAAGATGCAGGACCAGGAAGAAGTCCCAAAGCTGACACTTAGATGAAATTTGTCCCCTGAACTCCAGGTGAGGCCAAGGATGGCTGACCAAGGGATAAAGCTGCTGCTGGAGCAAAGCTCTTGCCCTCCACCCAGCCCTGCACTGCCAAGGCAGGATGCATGTAGCAGGATGAGGGAGCCTCTGCTGTGTCCGAGGCTGGGACAGCAGGGATTGTGCAACGTCCCTCAGTGCAGTTGTATAACATCAGTGCTCTGTTTTTATGAACTGCTCCCAGTCAGGCCCAGAGAGCAGCAGCCCAGAGGAAGGGTGGTGTCAACATTACCTTTCACTCACCCGAAAGAAAAGAAGGGGTGGGGGGAGAATCAAAGATTTGGTGTCGTTTGGGCTGGGGAGGGGGTCTGGCTGTGCCGCAGAGCCCCGCTCCAAACTCTGCTCCTGGCCAGCACCACGGAGCTGGCAGCCAAGGCAGGCTCTGAGCAGGAAACGGGTTAATGGCAGCTCCTGCACTGCTCTGCTCCCCCCAGCGTGTAGCACGTCTTTTGTGGATTATTTTAACAGCAGAAGGCACACAAGGAACACTCACTGAAGAGATCAGCTTCCATCTGGGCTAACCCGAGAGTTTTCTCCCCTCCAATTTCCTCCAGCACCCACTCAACAGCTTCCCTCCCTGCCAAAGTGTTTGCTCAAAACCATCTTGACATGCAGCTCAACAGCTCAGTTGGAGAGCATCACTTTTGCCTGGTCCAGAAGGGCAGGAGCAGGGCAAGGCAAGGCAGGGCAGAGCTCCCACCCTGCTGCTGTAGGTTCCCCAGTGCCCCACTGGGGCAGCAAAGCTGCTCTCCAGAAATCCCAGCCCAGTCTCTGGGATGCTCACAGTGTCACACCACAGCCAGGAGTTCCCAGCTGGAGCCAGCCCAGGGCAGGGAAGGTCGAGTTTTAACCATCCACAAAGTATTCAGCAGAAGGGCAGATAAGCTGAATTTCCCTCATGCTGTGTGAGCCCTGCACAGAGCAGCTTCCCTGGGCATTAAAACCCTGGCCCAGCACTGTCCAGTCATCCTCCCCTGAGCCTCAAACCAACCAGCACATTTTCAGCCTCCAACAGCAGCCACTTCTCCAGCCCACTCCTCCCCACTGCCCTGCTCCCAAAGCCCTTGAATGTCAGCATCCCTGGTCCCCCCTTGGCACCCTGGAAGGCTTTGCAAGATCCCTTTGGGAACACTGAGATCCCACCCAACAGCAGTGAGCTGCTGGAGGGGCTGCATGGAGCAGACCCCCAAAGTGCCAGGAATGAACCACCACCACCTGTCTTCAGAGGGGAACAGCAAAAGTCTTCCAGGGCAGTGCAGACACATCTAAGCAGCTTAGAGACCTGCCCTGTCTGCTCCCAGGCTCCTGGAGCAGTGGGACAACAACCTCCAGCTCAGGCAGCAACATCTTCATGGGAGACAGCTCGGCAAGAGCAGCTTTGCCCACCCAGAGACACATGGAGCAACAAGGAAACCATCCAGAGAAACAGCAGCAGAGCACCACCCGAAAAATACATCACCAAAATACACAACCCCCTCCCCTAAGGCATCTCTGGAACCAAACACAAATTTATTGCAAGAAACATTATGGTATAAGGGGAAAAAAAAGATGACAGTACCTGATCCTCCAAACTGAGTGCTCGCAAGGGTCGTGGGTCTGTTTTTTCCATTAGCCACTGGCAAGGGAAACATCTAGAAAAACAAGGAGATGAGAGAGAAGGGAAGAGAAAAGAGATTTCAGTATGTTGGTTTTACTGTGCTGTTGCAAAGGGGTCACACTGGGGGAGGGGAGGGGGAAGGCAGCCCGTTATTGATGCAAAAACCTTTCCTTGTGTGCCTGCTCCATCACTCAGGAGGGAGGCACAGCCCTGCTCCCACACACACCCCCACGTGTACACCCCCTGCTTCTGCAGGGGCAGCTGCAAACCAGCCAAGGAGCATCCCTGCCATCCCAGTTTCATCCCAAAGTTGCTCACCCTGGCTGCAGGTGAGCCCTGGGGAAAGGCCAACTCCATTCATAAACAGGCAGCAGGATAATGACAGCAAAGCTGTTTTATCCCTCACTGTCCCAGCTCCCACAGCAGTCCTGCTCCCATCCCACACCTCCAGCCACCTGCAGTGCCTGGGCAGGACAAGGGCTGCCTGTGGGCCTGGCTCACGGATCAGCCCCCAGCCTCATGGAGCAGCTCCCACCCCACTGCCTGGGGGCTCCAGCAGCACCAGGACCTGACACAGCCCTGGGGCCTGGGGAGAGGAAGCTGCTCCGAGGGCAAATACAGTTACTCATGATTTAAAAAGTTAATATATTTCACAGAATTGGTCGCTGTGGGGACTTGTTTGCTCTATCACTACAGCTTCATTATCACAACTGAGCCTCTCCTGCCAGGAGCTTCCTCAAAAACACACCTTGTCACCTAACCTGTATAAATATTTTTAATAAAAGTTGGGAGAGTTTCAGAGGCTGCTATTTAATAATTTACATGCACCTGCGTGCAGCAGAAAAGAAAACTAATTCTCCTGCACACAAATGGAGCTTCAGCCAATAAAACAACTGGTGGAAAAACGCTTAGTGAATTAACATTTTAATATCCTTTTTCTATTCAAGATACTTTCACCACCAAGTCATTTGAATTTTTATTATTTTTAGCTTTGTAATGTCTGAGTAACTCAAAAGTTTAATGCTTTGAAGATTAAACAATGTAATGGCACAAGAGCCTACAGAAAGGCAGCGTTTCATGCCCTGACATAGCTGATGTCTGGCTGTGGTCAGAAACATTCCTTTGTACAGAACCGTCTGCCCAGCTTTGTTTTCACAAATGCTGGGGAGGAGAAAAAAACCCAACAAAAAACAGTTAAATGTGGTAGAGATGCAAAGAGAGCAGTTAAGGAACCAACTGCCATTCATAAAGAGCACAAATTTGGGATCATATATATGCATGCAGGGTGTAGATGTTTTACACACGGATTTAAACAAAGGTGTAAACAGTGTTTAGTGTTCATCCAGCTGCCTGCACACACCTGCCCTCACCTGCCTGCACACGGCCCCCCAGCCCCCTCAGATGTGCCCTGAGGCTGCTGCTCACCCCAGGGGCTCCCGAGGTGTTTGGGGTGGCCCAGCAGCCCCACCATCGGATGAGCTTTGTTTCCTCAGGAAGTTGGGCTAGACCCCAAAGATTGCAGCTCACCTTCCTCTGCACTGCTGCAGGGCTTCCCTGCATCCCCTCCCCCTTGCAGGGCAGGAGGGGGCTCTGCAAACATCTCCAATCATGCTGAAAATTGAACTTAGGTGGCTGATCCCACCCTGCCTGTGCTCATTCCCTCTTCTCAAGGTAGGAAGAAGATTGAGATCAAGCTCCCTTCTTGCCAAGTGGCATGGGGCAGGTCTGCATGTGCGAGCAGGGGGGAAGGGATGCACCATGAACCGACCAGCAAAGAGCACACTCACACAAAAAAAACCCCAAAAAACCCAAAAACAAACAACCCCCCCCGAAAAAAGGCACTGCTGGCTCTTTTCATGAGCATTTCTGCTCAGCATTTGCTGAGGCTGAAAAACGCAAGGTTTGAGCAGCAAACATGAACGGAGAAAAGGAACAGCCTTGTTCCACTGCACCCAGCACCTTCTGCTTCTGCAGAACAGGAGGGTCCCCCCAGGGCAGCAATGCCCAGCACCCCCAAAACACCCCCACACAGCCCAGGGAACCCCTCCCCTCCTCCAACTGCCTGAAGAGAGATTTTGAGGCTGATGCAACACCTTCCTGCTCTCCCTCCCCAGGGGATTTAGAAGTCATGGACCCCTTCCCGCAGCAGGGCAAGTAGAGATGCTAGAGGACAGAATCCTGGAATATCCTGAGCTGGAAGAGATCCAGCCATTCAGTCCAACCCTGTCCCTGCACAGCCACCCTAACAAGCCCACCCTGAGCAGCCCTGAGAGCTCCTGGAGCTCTGGCAGCCTTGGGGGCATTCCCTGGGTAGTGCCAGCACCCTCGGGGGCAGGAACCTTGCCCTGAGCTCCTTGCCAAGCCCTGGCACAACCTCATGCTGTCAAAGAAGGGTGATGGGGAGCAGAGAACCCCAGGTTACCCCTCCAAACCTAACACATGCCAACCACAGGAGGCGTTTTGGGCTTTTTTCTTGCTCCCAGCCTCTTTTTCCACTGTGGTGTGGGCTGAAGCTGCCCCGAGGAGCCCGGCACAAGTCATACGTGAAGTGCCTTCGCTGGCGTGTGTTGCTCAGAGGCAAAGTTCATCCACCCACTGCAAATTTCCTTTCTGTTTTAAATGCTGCTTTAAAAATAAACTGGGGGGAGGGAGGAGATGAACCGGAGCTGGCACCTACCAGGGGACCCAGGCATTGAGAGACCCAGGCATGAGCTCTCAAGAGTTGTAATTGGGTCATTACTTGGCCTTTGTTAGATTTGAATAATGTCGATTTAAACGGTTATGTAAAATCCCCTATCTTAAGTTGGTGTATTTGGTTTTTCAAGTCCTATCTCCAGCCTCCCCGAGAGCTGACAACAACTTCGTTCCCTCCTAGCTCAATTTCCACCCCTTCCAAAGAATTTATTCTCCCTTCATTTCTCCCTGGGTAAACAGGTAAATCCAGAGCATGAGAAGATCCAAATGCCTGCACCCTCCCCTGAGGAGGTTATAGCCCAGAGACCCCACACTTCATACAGCAAACTCCTAAGAAAGAAAGGAAATTTGCCAGAAATGAGGAACATCAAGCAGCATGTCATTTATTGTGCACATCTAGAAGTGCAATTCTTTTCAAATTAAATCAGTGCTCATTCTCTCTCCTCTCCCACCTGATGAACTCCAGGCTGAAGCAACCTCAGGCCTGAACTCCAAACCCGAAATCTATTTTGCAGCATGGAAAGAATCCAGCTGTTAATTTGGGGAGAAGAGGGAATTTGACCCAAACTACATTGCCAGCAGGACATTTTATACATGTTCACTTAAGACAGACCTTCCTGACTACAGTCCCAAATGCCCACTGTGTGTGCAGTCAAACTTTAAGCTCCACAGCTGCTTCACTCTGAACAGAACTCCGAGTTTTACCATGGCAATGCAGGCGCTGGCCTTGGCCGCAGCAGGGCACGGCTGCAGCATCCTCCCGTGGAGCACAGGAGCTGCTCCAGCCCTGCTCGCTGCCAGCATTCGGCTCCCGCTCCCGGAGCCGGGGCTGGAGCCGCGAGAGCCGCGGCGCAGCCGGAGCGGCAGGTCCTGTGTGACTGCTCAAGCCCCTGCCCACCCTGCAGCGAGCCAGAAACCCCCTCTGCCAGGCAGCTCCCCGCAGCATATGGTTAATACTCTGCTAATAATCATGGCTGTTAACAGCACCTCGCTCCTGCCAGAGCCCCCGGCTGGCACTGGCACGCGGCCGCTCCCAACTCGGCTGGCGCTCGGTGGCACCAACACACCCAGGGCTGCTCTGCTCCTCTGTCCCCTGCCTGGGGTGTCCCTGTCCTCCAGAGCAGTGCAGCCCAGCCAGGACACCTGTGTGGCACCTTCCCACTGCACAGCAGCACTGGCACAGCGGAGACACTGCCTGGGATAACCAGTAACCACAAAAAGTCCCAGAATCCTGGAATACCCTGAGCTGGAAGGGACCCCCAGGGATGCTCAGGGCAGCCCCTGTCCCTGCACAGCCACCCCAACAGCCCCACCCTGAGCAGCCCTGGCAGCGCTGTCCAAACGCTCCTGGAGCTCTGGCAGCCTTGGGGCCGGGACCATTCCCTGGGCAGTGCCAGCACCCTCGGGGGCAAAAACCTTTTCCTCCTATGCCAGTCCTTGTGGTTGAGCATCTCCTGACAGCACAGGCCAAGGGTCCTCATATGCAAGTCCTTGTGGTTGAGCATCTCCTGACAGCACAGGCCAAGGGCAGCTCCCCCCATACACAGCCTGTGCCCATCAGGCTGAGCTGCAAAGCCTGGAAGCCACCAAAGCCCAGCCTAATCAATAGCTGAGCTGCCCACTTGGGTCTATGGGCAGGATGTTTTCTCGAAAGCTCCTCTCCAGATCTGGCAGCCCATCTGGGCCTGCTGCCAGGGAGCAGTGGTGAAGGCGAGCTTACAAATTACCCACACTTTGGGGTAATTAGAAAAGGCAATTTATCTGGGGGTAGAGGTAAGTGTGCTGCCATGCACACCCCAAACCATCACTGGGCCTTTCTTTTGACTTGTGCTCACTTACAGATTCCTTTGATTTTTGCCCTTTTTGGCAAATTACAGTGGCACAAAGCTTTTGGTGAGTGCTTTGGAGTTCAGTATCTACCCAATCAATTTATTTATTAAAGAGGGGATGAGTCTCTTCTTTCAGGACTGCAAGCCTAGCTTTCAGCATCTCACACAACCCTGTAATTTACTGACCCCAGGAACTCATGGCAGGCCATGCCACCCCCTTAGGGCCTTAAAATTCCCTTCCTGCACAGCAAAACACATTGCAGGGCTGGACCACAGACTGCTGGGGCTGAACACATTTTCCCTAGAAAAAAGGAATCAAAATACTGATCTGAAGCAAATGCTTCCAGCTGCTCTGAGTATCTCTACTTTTCCCTCCCCTCTACTCTCCTGGAGAGGATTACTGAACCAATGCTCCACTCCTGTTTATTCAAAGAAAAATATAAATACACTTGAAAGAGCGAGCTTTGTGGTCAAAAACCCTGTATCCCAAGGACACAGAGAGAGCAAACCATGGAGCACCTATTCAACAGACCCATCTACTGTCTAGGAAGCTTTTCCATTTCAGCTCCTCATCCTTGAGGAGAGCTGTTAATATTCCCTTTATGCAAAGAGAGAAGGGTGTGTGGAGATGAGGGTTTGTGAAGCAGAGCTGGCTGCAGTCCAGGCTGCGCCGGAGCCCATCGGCCGGCGGATCCTGCAGGGAACATCTTCGAGCCATTTGCTGGCAAATGACATTCACAGGCCCTGGTGCTGTGAGCAGCAACCCCCAGCACCTCCACACCAGCCGTGGAGGAGCACGGGATGAGTTCTGGTCCTTCCCAGAATTACACCAGTGGAAGAGCGTTGGATGCAAACCCAAATTTAACCTTTTGGTGTGGATTCGCCTCCAATGACAGAAACGTTTGTGGACAGAGGGACCAGGTCAAGACTCATCCCAGGAATACAGCTCTAGGCATGCAAATGAGGATGGTTGGTTAAATTGGAAAATAAGGTCTTGGGGTTTTTTAAAGCTCTAAATGGTGAATGGCATTTGATTTTTTTTTTCAAGAAGGGGAAAAAGCAAAGTACGAACTGCTGCAGCCCCCATAAGGGAGCAGATTCTGGGTTACTGACCCAAAGTGCAATTGATGGAAAGCCCCAGGGCTCCTGCCAACCTGCAGGATCTCTGAGAGGGACAAATATTCCTGAACAGATTCCTGGTTTCACAGGGATACCATCACTGCAGTCCCTGTACCCACTTTAAAACATTCTACCAGAAACGCCCATCACCAGCAATTCAACAGAACCAGCCTCCCAGTAGAAGGATGAAACTGGGAGAACTGGGCTTCTCCTGGAGAATTGCTCTTGGGGGGCTCAGAGACACCCCCCCTGCCCCTCCAGGACAGAGTTCTGTCAGGACAGGTACAACCCCCAGCTGTAGAAAAAGGTTTATTTCCCAGGGCTGAAGCTCAGCATGCGGATGCAGAAAAGCAGATGAGCCCCAGCACACCCACAGGGACAGCAGGTGACCCTAGCTCTGCCACCACTTTTTGTCCCTTCTCCTCCACGGGGCAGGAACATCAGCCCAGCAGGGCTGTGGGCTGGGTGACCCAGGCTGGGGTGACTCTCACGGCCATTCCTCCTCCTGGAGCTGTTGTTTCTATCTCTGCAGCACGTTTGCTTATCTCGACAGCAAGACACATGCTTGCAGTGCCATGAGGGTGCAGCACACAACAGAGGAACCCAACAGACAGTTATTGCCTTTGAACACCAGCTCTGCCCTCCAGAGTCACCTGCCAAGGAGAGGCAGCACCGCTGGCAGTGCCACAGCACGATGTGCCAGGGACTAACCCCGCTCTGCTGTGACTAAAGGGACTTCTCCTCCCTCCGAGCTGTGCACACCCTTCAGGGGGAACTCTTAGGTCCTGTTTCTTTGAAAATAAACAGCTCCTAAATGCAGCTCAAGGTTTCCAGGATACAGAAGAGCAGAGCATGGGGAGCACAAGTGTCCAACTCCTGCAAAAATAACGCGCTGGAGAGCTTGGACACGTTTCAAACTGTGACAAAATAACCTGTGGGAGCAAAAGTTTAATAGTCTGGATCTAGGGAGAGGAAAAAAGCTTGATTAATCAGCTACTGAAGTTACATCTCTCCATGGCTGCAGAAACAGTCACCCAGTGAGCATTTAAACAGAGAACACACAACTCTGCTAATTCCCCCAAAATTTCCCATCCAGAAAAGAAACCTCTCTGCCTTCCCTGCGAGGGAACAACACACATTTGAGGGGAAGAGGGGGAGAGGAGGGGCAGAGGCTTTGCTTTAACTTGAAAATAAACAAGTTGCAGCACATGTGCACGCACACAAACACGGCACATCTGAAAGCCATCATGTCCAATTTACAGGCTCACATTTCCTCCCCTGTGCAGCTCCCAGCCCCGGGGCTGCGCAGCCCCCCGGCCGCGCTCGCTCACCATACTGAAGTCCAGCAGGTCACTGAGCTCTTTGTCTGTCCCAACTGCAGCCATTCTCTGCTGCTGCTGATTCATATTCCCACAGACTCAACAGTGGCAGTCCTGCAGAAAGCGAGGGGGAGGGGAGGGAGATATTTTAATGACTACAGCAAACTACCCACCCCATTGATGAATATTTTAAAAAGACAGAGTGGAGGGGCAAGAAAAGAAAAGCCCTGAGCGTGTCGGCAGCGTCCAAGTCCGGGGCCAGAGCACAGTCGGAGTCCTCACACAGCACCCAGCGGCAGGAACAAGCCTTCTATTGACCAGACACACTTGTATGTTAGTTTTTTGCTGCCAATTCCACTAGTTCAGGCCAATTCTGTTCCCGGCGTGTGGCGAATGAAGGGGGGAAAAGAAGAAAAAAAAAAAGGGAAAAAAAAAGAGTCAACTCATTTATCAAAGGGTTCAGGCAAGTTATCACTCAGGCGCTTGTCTGGCTCAGCTCGCCCCCTCGCCTTCCCCCACACTTGCTCCCCGCAGGAGGCTCTCTTGTCCTTGCTGAGTTTTGTTTTAAAAAAAAAAAAAGAAAAAAAAAAAAGAAAAAAAAAAGTAGGCCGTTACAGCTCTTTCCTTCGGGTCGCCGAGCACCTGCAGCTGCTTTTTCAGGGGCTGTGTTTGGGGATGCCCAGCCAGGCCGTGCTCAATGAGAACTGAACCTCTCCACTCCCAAAAGGGGCTGGAAACAAAAAAATTTTGTTTTCGGAGTGTTTTTGCAAAAATAAAGCCCTCCAGGCAACCTTGCAAGATAGGTAAATATTATTCTTCCTAATTTTACAGATTATTTTTTTTCAAAAGGGAGATTGATCTTTTTGGCCAGCTTGCTATGATAGAAAAATATTTCTTTGGGAGGGAGGAAGAGAGGCCTGGGATGAGATAAAAGATTCCTTTTTTTTTTTAGGCCTTTTTTTTTAGGAACTCATTCATGGTTACAAAGGGCAGCTGGCCAATAAATTTAACTCATTAATTGTAAGGTTAAAAAAAAGAAGAAGAAGAAAAAAAAAAAAAAACCAAAACTCCACACGATCCAAAGTGTTTGTAGGCTCAGCCACCACATTTCAATGAAGTTTCATAAAAAAAGGCTGAAATCAGCCCAGCGTGTAAAAAGCCTTCACCGCTATAAAAAACAGCCTGGGAGTTTTCTTTTTTTTTTTCGTATTTTCATTTTCTTTGAAAATCCTTTTTCAAAGTGTCATCAGTGCATCTGGTCAGTGTTTTTAAAGCCACTTTCCCAACCTCCTGCCCCGGTGCCTCAAGTGGGGCTGGGGACACGAGACCCCGGAGAAGCCGCGGAAGGAGGGAGCCAAGAGGGCACATCTCTTCCCAGCCCCCCAAACCCTGCACCCCCGAGCACCCTGGGACAACGTGAACAAAACCCTTGGCCGCCCCAACGCCACGCTGGGAGGGTTATTTTTATTTATTCCACGCACACTTTCTGACTCCAGAGCAGCCCGCGGGGCCGGGGCGCCGGGCCAGGACCCCCCCCCGATGTCTCCGCGCCCCCGGGGTCCCTCCCCAGCCCGGACAAAGGCTCGGCTGCCCCGGGACGGGCGCGGGCCGGGGGTGAAGTTGTTCGGTGCCCTCCAGCCGCGACCCCCGTGCCGCAGAGAGCGGGGCTCCCGGCTGGCAGCCCCCGCGCACACCGGGCAGCGCAGGAGGGCGAAGCGGCCCCAGGGGCCTCCTCCCTGCCGGGGGAGAAGCCGAAGCTGCCGCCCCCGCGCTGGGTCCCGCGGCTCCGGCAGCCCCCGAGCCGGGAAGGGGCTGCGGGACCCCCGGGGGGGCCGCGGCGAGCTGCGCTCGGCTGAAGTTCGCGGCGGGACCGAGCGCCGGAGCCCCCTCCCCAGCCGGGACGGCGCACCCCCTCCCCGCGGCCCGCACGCCCCCCGCCGGCAAACTTTGCCGAGGGGACAATAGCGCCGAGCCCGTCCCGTCCCGCTCCGCACTCCGCGCTCCGAGCCCCGCCACACCGGCACCCCCAGCTCCGGCACCCCCGCGCCGGGACCCCCGCTCCGCGCAGCCCCGGGGCGGCGCGGCCGGCTTGGCTTGGTTATTATTTTATTATTTCTACGCTTTATTTTATTTTTTACCTGTTCCAGGCCCGGCGCGCCCGGGGCAGGGGAAGCGCATGAAGGGTGTCGGGGGTCGCGGCGGGGGCGGGGGCGGCCGCGGCGCCCAGGCCCGGGGGCGGCGGCGGCGCCTATTGTTCTCCGCCGCCGGCGGATACAATGTAGCGAAGCGGCGCGATCGCCCCGCACCGGGCGGCGCGTGCGCCCCGGCCCGAGCGTGGGCGCGCCCGGGAGGGCGGAACGGGGCCGCGGCGGCGCGGCGGGGGCAGCGCCGTGGCGGGGACTATATTTCCTAGCGTAAGGGGACGGGCGGCTCGGCGAACAGCGCCGGTGACGACACCGGAGCTCCGCGAGATGGACTGATAAGGCAGCAGGGTCCCAGCCAATGGAAACGTGCTGTTGATGTGATTGGCAGGTGGTGCGGCCAACCAGAGCGCGGACTGCCGCGGTCCCCGCCCACCGAGCGGGGGGCGGGCCGGGGGCGGCCGCTGGTTGCCGTCGCCGCCCGCG